ACGAGATCAATAAAGCCTAGTGGTTGATGCATATATAATGTTTTAGAGTGATGATTGTGTAAGAACATGTTTTTAACATCAAGTTTGATGTATTGTCCTAATGCTAGAGACTACATGGTTGAGGATTGTGCTGATATCGTGGGTTTGTCTACCAGACTATAAGTTTCATTGCATTCAATCCCTAATTGTTGACTGTGGCTGTTAGCGACGATGCGAACCTTGTATCGACTAATAGAGTCATCAATATGATGTTTATGTTAACATAACCATATGCAATGAACGACATTGACACTTACAGGTCTAGGAACAAGCACCCTTGCATTATTTCTAATAAGCACATTATACTTTATTTTTTAGACCTATCTCCTAAAAATCAGGAACTAAACTAAGAACTCTTTTAGAAGCAACAAATATGAACATCATTGGTATGTTCATTTTCCACCCAACCATCTTAGTTGCACTCTCTTTTGGTATGTTCATCTTTTGATTCAATAAAAGATTGTTAAACAAGAATTTTTGAAGATATTGAGTCGTCTTTCAAACCAAGTGATTCGAAGCACCATATGGTAGGTTGTGTTTATTTGTTTTGGAAGGTTATTCGATTGGAATGAGCTTCATCGGTGTTTAATGAGATTTTTTCAAATTTTATATTGAATAAAATCTTGTTTCTATATTTGAATGAAATTTATTTTTTCATAATTTGATGAGATTTGTTTCTCATATTTTGATATCCAAGGGCTTCATGTTGTTCAAATTGTCAGGCTCTTCTTCCGCATACACGTTAAAATTTCATGAGGCACTTAATGGGCTCCAATCTTACTTATAGACTGCGATTTTGTCATGGGCCTAACCATGAGTCCATAGTATTTAAGGTTTAGAAAAAAATATCATTTTTGTACAATATTGTATTTGTAGGATCTGCAATTTTGCTTATGGATTGTGATTTTGTCACGAGCCTAGCCAATGAGCCATGGTATTTAAGGTTTGTAAAAAAAATATCATTTTTATACAAGGAGAATTATATAAGTGTTTAATACATGACATATAAATTAGACATTTATATAATGTTACCGCAGATGAGGCAGAAAAAAAAGACCAGACTATATATCATTTATTTTAATTTTCTGATTATTTTTATAAAAAAAAAAATGACTACTCTATGTATATAAAGCAAGTAAATAATAATTAACCTAAACAAATGGAAAATTGTTAAAATAAATAGATAAACAGAAGAATCTGGAATCAACCAGGGCGGAAAAGAAAGGAAAAAGAAAAACAAGTTTGACAAAATTTAAACCGACTGTTTCTTTCTCTAGCACGTTCCATCCCTAGAAACTTGACAATTGCCATATCTTAAGAGGTAAGAACATTCTGGAAATACAAGCTTTACCCTTTATAAAACCACCCAGCTACCATTCCTCCTCCTCATCAAGAAGAAAAAAAAAAAGCTATTAGTGATATCGTGCAAACTATTTGTGTAATATTCGTCTATTCAAACTGTTTTTTGGTGGGTGATCGGAAATATGTCGGGGAAAGGTGAAGGACCGGCGATTGGTATTGATTTAGGAACGACTTACTCATGCGTCGGTGTTTGGCAGCATGATCGTGTCGAGATCATTGCTAATGATCAGGGAAACAGGACGACGCCGTCTTATGTTGCTTTTACGGACACCGAGCGTCTTATCGGGGATGCCGCCAAGAATCAGGTGGCCATGAATCCAACAAACACTGTTTTCGGTATGCTCTCTTTCTCCCTCGCTGATGTCTTGAAGAATTATCTGTAATTTTTAACTTTAAGTTTGAAAAATGAAATCACTATGTGTTATCATCTGTCTTTTGGTAAATTCTATTCAATAGTGGAATTGGATGTTTAAAATTGATGTCGACAAGTGTTTGGCTCAAATCTCTAAGCATCAAACTTGAAACGTATGCCATTGTCCATTGAAGATGTTGTTTTTGTAAATTATTTTTTGAAAGGAGTGTGGATGATGGTGGTTTTTTAAAGATTCTGGATTTTTAGTTAATTTTGAGCTTTTTCAAGTCTAATTGAGTGAATTCATTGTGATCTCTGCAGATGCTAAGCGTTTAATCGGGAGAAGATTCTCTGATCCATCGGTGCAAAGTGACATGAAGCATTGGCCGTTTAAAGTCGTCCCCGGCGCCGGCGACAAACCCATGATTGTCGTCAACTACAAGGGAGAAGAGAAGCAATTCTCTGCTGAAGAAATCTCTTCCATGGTTTTAATCAAGATGAAAGAAATCGCTGAAGCCTACCTAGGCATCACCATCAAGAACGCGGTGGTTACCGTCCCTGCATACTTCAACGACTCTCAGCGACAGGCCACCAAGGACGCCGGTGTCATCTCTGGTCTTAACGTCATGAGAATCATCAACGAGCCAACTGCAGCTGCCATTGCTTATGGGCTCGACAAGAAGGCTGCCAGTGTTGGCGAGAAGAACGTGCTGATTTTTGACTTGGGTGGTGGCACTTTTGATGTCTCTCTTCTCACCATTGAAGAGGGCATCTTCGAGGTGAAGTCGACTGCCGGAGATACTCATCTGGGCGGGGAAGATTTCGATAACAGGATGGTGAACCACTTCGTTCAGGAGTTCAAGAGGAAGAACAAGAAAGATATTAGTGGAAACGCAAGAGCTTTGAGGAGATTAAGAACCGCTTGTGAAAGAGCAAAGAGGACTCTTTCATCAACAGCTCAAACCACAATCGAAATTGATTCTCTATATGAAGGAATCGATTTCTACTCGACAATCACCCGTGCAAGATTCGAAGAATTGAACATGGATTTGTTCAGAAAGTGTATGGATCCAGTTGAGAAGTGCTTGAGGGACGCGAAGATGGACAAGAGCAACGTCCACGACGTGGTTCTCGTGGGTGGGTCGACCCGGATCCCTAAAGTTCAACAACTGTTGCAGGATTTTTTCAACGGGAAAGATCTCTGTAAGAGCATCAACCCAGATGAAGCGGTGGCTTATGGTGCTGCAGTTCAGGCCGCCATTTTAAGCGGTGAGGGAAACGAAAAAGTTCAGGATCTGCTTCTTCTCGATGTCACCCCTCTGTCTCTAGGGCTTGAAACCGCTGGTGGTGTTATGACGGTATTGATACCCAGAAACACCACCATTCCGACCAAGAAAGAGCAGGTGTTTTCTACTTACTCTGACAATCAACCAGGAGTTTTGATTCAGGTTTACGAAGGCGAAAGAACACGAACTAAAGACAACAATTTGCTCGGAAAATTCGAGTTATCTGGCATCCCGCCTGCTCCCCGTGGTGTTCCACAGATCACCGTCTGTTTCGACATTGATGCTAACGGGATTTTGAATGTGTCGGCTGAAGATAAAACGACAGGGCAGAAGAACAAGATCACGATTACAAATGATAAAGGAAGGCTGTCGAAGGAGGAGATAGAGAAGATGGTGCAGGAAGCGGAGAAATATAAGGCGGAGGATGAAGAACACAAGAAGAAGGTGGAAGCGAAGAACACGTTGGAGAACTATGCGTATAACATGAGGAACACTATTAAAGATGAGAAGATTAGCTCAAAGCTGGCGGCGGATGACAGGAAGAAGGTGGAGGATGCGGTGGAGGAGGCGATCCACTGGTTGGATGGGAACCAGCTGGCGGAGGTTGATGAGTTTGAGGATAAGATGAAGGAGCTTGAAGGGATATGTAATCCGATTATTGCAAAGATGTATCAGGGCGGTGCAGGTGGGCCGGATATGGGTGGAGGTATGGAGGATGACGGACCTTCCGCCGGTGGTGGCGCTGGACCCAAGATTGAAGAGGTGGATTAAGAGTAATCGAAAATGGTGAGATGAATGTAGGATAATGGGTTTTGGTGTATTAGGAAGACAGTAGCAGTTTGGTTGTTGTGGTGTAGAGGGTTATGAATTATGAAGTTATGATCTCTAATAAAAGTTTTGTCTATTTTAATGAACATTGTCAAATGTCAAACTTTTGTTTGTAAATTCCTATCCTTCTAAAATTTTGGTTCTTTACTCTACGATATTCACTTTTCTATCATGGTATAAAAACAATAGCTACTAGCTAGAACATGGAGATCGACCAAAAGTGGATTCGTTTCGATGAAACCTTGTCCAAACTTTTCTGTTTTAAGTTTTTCATATGCCCTTTCGACATAAAACTCCTTAAGTTTTGTAATTTTTGTAGGTTTTGTTCCTGATCATAAAAACTCTTTAATTTTTGTAATTTTTATTGGTTTTGCTTTTGCAGTGATTTTGATCATAAAAACTCTTTAATTTTTGTAATTTTTATTGGTTTTGCTTTTGCAGTGATTTTAGATGCGTTAAAACCCAAAAATTTTAAACTTTTTTTTTTTTTTTTTTTTTTTTTTGCCATTTAGCTCACCAGGTTGGACTATTTGGAAGTGTTTATTTCCGACATTATTATTTCGGATATTATTATTATTACATGGGTTTAATTAAAAAAAATAAATATAAAATTTTAATAATTTGAAAAGTTTGAATTTATAAGAAAAATAAAAAAATTTTGAATTATTAAAATTAATGAAATTTTAATGTATTGATTACATTACATATATAAATTTTTTATAATAAATACTTTACATATATATTACCTTACACATTAAATTTAGAATTTTAATTTAATAAAATAAAAAATACAATAAAATGACAAGTGGAAAATAAAAAATTTAAAATTTTTTAAAAATATTATGTGTTCAAATGAATGAGAAAATGATATGTGGTAAAAAAACTTTCATTTATTATAGTAGATAGGAACCATGTTTTCCCAATGTAGGATTTTGATTAAAAGATGTGTGAAAAGCTAAGTTGCACGGAAACGGATACGGAACGGATACGAGAAACGACAAAACTCAAAAATTCAAGATACGGATACGGGCACAGATACGACAATATAAAAATATGAAAAAACATATATATATTAAAAAAATCCAAAAAATGTAAAGTTTAAACTCCAAAAGTACTAAATATTTTAAAAGTAACTAATTATCAATAATCAAATCATTTTCAAAGTCGGGTTCATCTAGTGAGAGATCTGCAAACTCCAAAAACCCGACGTCTTCCATTGAATCAAAAGCATCTCCACCCACATCCCACATCTTTACATCATCTTTCGGAGTCCTTGACAAAAGTCGGAGATTATTGTGGACGTAAACCAAGTCTTGAGCACGACTTGTAGTCAACTTGTTCCTTTTAAGCGAGTGAATAAATGCGAAAGTACTCTAATTACGCTCAGCACAAGAAGAAGAACTAGGTTGTCCAAGTAATCTAAAAGCCAAAATCTGGAGAAAAGGAGTTTAAGCACCAAAGTTAACCCACCAATTCTTGGGTTCCATAGTAGCCATCTTTGAAATGCTTGTTAAATCTTCAAAAGGACCACTCTTCATTGAAAACATCGCATACTCATCAAGGGCTCTGCCATACTCATCACCATTAGGAAACAACCTTCGAAAACATTTCATCCTTTTCTTGTGAAATTTCTCCATCCCTATGTGGAGCGCATCTTGTAGAATCCTCCATTAACCATGCATCACTATAATATCCACAAACATCAAAAAGTTAAAATATAAATATATAATACAAATCAAGTGTATAATCTAAAATCTTATACCTTGGATGTAAAGAGTGAGCTAAACAATGTAGGGGAGTGTTATTCTTCGCCCATCGAGCCACTAAAATACGATGCACAACGTCGTAAAAACAACTTATTTGAGATGTCAGACGTTTTTCTTTCTTGTAGATCTCAATCTTGACTTTCTCAATCATAGAATCCCACATCTCATAGACCAAGTGTAAACATGGCTTGTCAGTGTCACAAGCTCTAATCATCTCATATATAGGTCCAGTGAAACTAAGAATATATGTTATTTTATCCCACCAATCATCATCCAAAATATATTCTTTCACAGTGTTTGCTTTCTCAGTGTCATCTAATCTATAAGAAGACCATTCTTCGCTTATGACCATAGCTTGAAGACCCTTTTTGATAAGTTTTAATCTCTTAAGCATCACAATGATGGAGGCAAAGCGAGTGTCAGCAACAGAAAGCAACCTAAGAGGAGTAAACTTGGTGAAAATCGAGAGCCTCATGTTATGGTTCATGATGAAATTTTTTATTGCAAATGCCTCTTCGTGAACTTCTTTTATCCAACGACACTGTTCGTATGTTAGTTCATTTGTTTCCACATTCCTTGGTGAAAAAATGTTCTTCAAAGCAAGATTAAGTGTATGAACAACACATGGTGTCCAATAAATATGAGGAAACTGACTCTCTATAATCTCTCCAGCCGCCTTACAATTTGCTGCATTATCAGTAATTATTTGCACAACATTTTCATGACCAATTTCATTGATGACTTCCTTCATTAATTCGGCAATAAAAAATCTATCTTTCACTTCCCCAAAACAATTCACTGCCTTTAGAAACAAAGGACCGTTACATGAGGTAGCCATGAAGTTGATTAGAGGTTTTCTTGTAGGATCACTCCAGCCATCACTCACAATAGTCACACCTTTTTCTTTCCATGTAAACCTAAGCGGCTCCAATAGCTTGTGAACATTATCTTTTTCTTTTTGTAGTAATGTTGTTCTTAGCTTATTATAACCAGGAGGTACATAACCATCAATTTTGTTGTTAGCAGCAAACTGAAAAGCCCTGACATAGTGTGGATTTCTTGCAAGATTAAAAGGTAAACCTCCGGTATAAAACATTCTAGCTATTTCTTGATCCAGTTGGTCCCTAATTTCAACACCAAAAGCTCTTTCAATAGGTGTTGAAATACCTTTTCTTTTCTTAAATCCAACACCAGCTTCACATGGCAACTAGACTTCTTTTGCTTGTGACTCGGTTTTCTTCTTTTCATATGCATCTTCTAATTGTGTCATGTTAAGTTTGTCAGCTGTTGTTGCTTTCTTGCAAATAGAAATCCCGGTACCTATATTAAACAACATAACAACATTGACATTCTCAATTACACAACATGAAAAAAAGAAGGTCATCATTGACATTATAAATTCAATTACATTACATTAATCAAAACAAGAAAGTGAATAAAAAACCTCTTATTTATTTGACTTTACCATTGTTCTTGAATAAATAGTTCTATTGAATAACATGAATCAAAAGTGCAACAAATACATGAATCAAAACAAAAATAACATGAATAAAAAGTGCAATAGTTCAATACTTCAATACAATAACATGAATAAAAAATTACAACAAATACATGAATGATTGTTGCCAACAAATACATAAATTTGCAGCCTCTTATTAGTTATTTCATTACAATTGTTAATGAATCAATAGTTCAATACTTCAATACAATAACATGAATAAAAAATTACAACAAATACATGAATGATGAATCAAAACAAAAATCGCAGCCTCTAATTTTTTTTCTTTACAATTTTTCATGAATCAATACAATAAGTCAATAACATAAATCGAAAATTACATAGACACACACACTAACTTGAATAATAGATTACCTTTTATGCCAAGCAAATGTGCTCTAACTCTAGAATATGATCCTTGTTGGGTTTCACTGCAAACATTACACTTGAACTTCCAACATCCTCCTGCTCCAGCAAGTTTATCGAGTTTAGTCACAAAGTCCCACAATGGAGGTTGGTCTACTGATGTAGATGATCCTTGTGTTTCTTGTTCTTGAGAAGAAGCCATAATAATCGAATTGGTGAGTGGTGAATGTGTGAATGAGTATTGAATTTTTTTTCTTATTCTTGGCTTCTTGATCGACAACACAGAGAGGTAATAAAAAAAACTATAAAAGTCGATGATCACCAATGAAAAGATTACGCAGCAGCCTTACGTTTACAAACTTCTAAATTCTAATTGACTAATTGACTAATTGTAGGGTAATAGCATTAGCAACCGATATATGACTAAGCCCATTCTCTATTTCTGCGTATTAAAAGCCCATGCAAATAATTAAAAAAGAAAGGGGGGGGGGGGGGGGGGGAACGTGAATGAAACGTGGGAGAAACGTTTCAGGGAATACCGCTACTTGCCGGAAACGTTTCCCGGCCGTTTCACCGAAGTTTCCGTTTCCTATGCGTTTCAGATACGGGAGCGGCTACTCATCTGGTGTTTCCATACATCGTAGGTGAAAATAGTCTACAATATATATTTTATTGATTTGTTTATTAAAATATAGATTATTTATATAGTAGAAGTATTTTTGCGTTTATATCCGATCTTTACAATCCGTACTAAAAAAAGATCAACTTTGTAAATACCTAATGAAGAAAGATTAAAACTTTGTGAATAACCAATAAAGAAAAATCAAAACGTATTAAAGTCTTAATACCTAATTAGAAAGATCAACAAATATTTATGATGTACATACCGAATGAAAAAAGATCATTTTTTTGTAAATACCTTGTTGATTATTGGATATGGTAGTTGTTTCTGAAGTTGACCTAAGTGGAAGAATGGGATAGCTGAATTAACACCAATGGGTTCACGTTCCACTCCACCTGGATCAATAGCAGATAAAGGTGCATTAGGGTTAGCAGAGAAAAGCGAGAACTTTGGTTGATCTTGAGCACTTCACCGATTTCTTGACCACTCCCTTGTACTCACATGGTGGGTCCTCCCCATGGCGGCAACAACCATTGGATGCCAAATAATTAGGTCATAAAGTTCACCTTCATTAACACCAACCGGTAACTAAAATAGAAACACAAATGTTACAATATTCATGTTAAAAAAAAGACTATAAAAACATCGTTTTATAAATTGTTTTAGGAATGATGGATGACAAACATGTTTTAATTCAAAATCCCCGAGAGTGGGATAATGAAATATTGTTGAAGTTTCATCCAAAATTGAATGTTGATTGGGAGAATAGAAGATGAAATCGCTCACTTCTGATGTGTAGACCACCTCCGATTAACCGTGAAAATAGGTGACTGCTACTGAAAAGAAACATCATTATCCTAATTTCATGAAATCAAATAAGTGTGTTCCAAAAACTGATTTTTCATATGGACCAAATCAAAGCTAACAAAAGAAGATGTGAATGTAACTTACTCCATGGATGTGTAATTCACTTCTATT